CATCCTTCCTCCATTGAATTGCTTTTGCACCTTTGTCAAAATTAGTTGGGTGTATTCGTGTGGGTCTATTTCTGGGTTCTCTCTTCTGTTCCATTGATCTATGTGTCCATCTCTCTGCCAACACCATATTGTCTTGATTACGGTAGATTTATAGTAAGTCTTGAAATCAGGTAATGTGAATCTTCCGGCTTTATACTTCTTCAGAATTGATTTAGCTTAATTAATTTTCCACCTGGCTATTTTATCTTTCCTATAGGGAAAGAAAAGAATAGAAAAGAACTGTGGTTGTGGGGAATGAGGAAAAGTATAGCATTTATATTCCATATGACCTAGGGTAGTGGTTTTCAAACTTTAGTATGCCTCAGAATCTGCTGGGGAGTTGATGCAGATTTCTGGGCTCCACCTTCAGAGGCAGAGTTTGACCTCCAGGTAATTCTGATGCAAGTGGTTCTGGACTGTACTTCGAAATTTGAAAACCAATAACCTGGGGAGAAACAAGAAGAAAAAACAAACAAAAAGAGAAACAACCCTTTATCACCATTGTTGGGATTCGGGCTCTCTTTGTTCTCTTTCTTTTCACTTCCCCAATCCCAGCTCTAATTTCTAGTATGCAATGGGCCTAACCCTTTTCTGAAGACACACTTATCATTTGTAGTTACGTGTGATAATAATGCAACAGAACTTTTTAAAGCATGATTTTTATTATAGCCTAAGTCCTGAATGTTTCTGGAAAAGCACATTTATATTATAAGGGAAGCGCCAAGGTAAATAGGATTTGCTCAACAGGAATTTGCTTCAGGGTCAAATATGCTACAACTCGTCTATTTGGTTCAAAAGGGACACCCACGTAGATTCAACCTTTGATATGTCAGAATATTATCAGATATCTCAGCTATCTCAGAGTATATATTCTGGAAATTAAGAAAGAAGACATGAGACACATGCCTCTCAGTGAAGGCAGAGTGTATGTAGGTAGGGTGCTGACGAGTTACCCCCACTTCTTTCCACTAGCCCTGGTGGACTTATTACTCATAACCACCAAACTGAAACATGAAATCCTCTTCTTCCTTTAGCTTATTCTGGGGAGTGTATTTCAACAGAACAAAGGAAAGACAAAATAAAGACAGAACAAAGGAAAAATAAGCATTTAAAATACATTCCCCAGACATTTTATCCCAAGATGTTCCTTACCAATGTACCTTCCATAAACGTAAATTTTTTTTTCTTCGTACGCTACTTAAATCATCTTACAAATGCTCTTTGTAGGTCAGTTATAGGTAGATGGGTTCAGTCAGCAGCTCTAATGAAACTTCAGAAAGACGTCTTGTGTTGATTGCAAGCGTAAAACTCATACATTGGGATAGAAGAGGAGCTGGTCTATTGTCTGTCTACACATGAGTTGTGTGCATTTTCACAGACTATATTTAGTACAGAAATAAAAATATGTTTACCCCATTTTGTCTCCTGCCTTATTCTAGGGAAGAAAGTTCTTGCATGAGCTCTTCCTTTTCTTGTTGCAACTCCTGCAAATGCTGTTGGTTTTGCTCCAATCTGTCCTCCAACCACTGCAGGAGAGGCCCGCTGACCGCTGACATCTGGCTGCATAGGTTCTTGGTAAACACTTCAAGAGGAAAAAGACAGATGAGGCACCTGTGGGAAAGCACTGTCCCCTGGTATATTCCCATTCCACTACCGACATCCCTGCAACTGTTGAGCCCAGGAAGAAGGCGTTGGAGGAGGAAGTAGAAACAGTGCAGTAAGTAGGACTGGCAGGAGATTTCCTGTGGTCAGCCAGGGGAAAGACAGAAGAGCTGGGCAAACAACCAGAACACCCCTGGATCCATAAGCCAGAGGGAAAGCCGGCTATGCAGACAGTAGAAAGATAGCCAGCTCTTGACTCCTCGGGCAAAATGGCTAAGAGCCACTAAAGGGTTCCTTTCCCCAGCCTTTCAGACCTGCCCACAGTGTAAATGACCGTAACCCTCCTAGAGAACTAGAACTCTGCATTCTGCAACTTAGTTTTCCATGGAGCCCTGTGGGAAAATTGCTTTTCAAATGTTACTTGCATCGGAGAAATACAGTCATTCAACTCACCTGAAAGATTTTCTTTTAAAATGAGGAAAACCCAGAGGGATCCAGAGTAAAGGAGTTCTCTTTTCATGCCTTACTGTGAATCAGTGTAGTTAAAACGTTGCCCTCCTAAGCTTTGGCGAAGTTCAGCTTCATGGTGAGACAATGATTCTATGGCAGTCTTTTGAAACAAATTTCTCCTAATGGAAATATCTTTTTCTCTCCCATTATACATGACTGTGGGGGATATCCTTCCAGCTTTTTGTAAAAGTATATATATGTACTTGTACGTGTGTGTGTGTGTGTGTGTGTGTGTGTGTGTGTACTTCTGAATAAAAACTATTATTTGGGACCTTACTTTTCCCCCGTATAACAATAGGTCATAGATATCTTTCTGTGTCAATAAAGATCTAGCTTTCCTTTTTTAAGGGCTACACAATATTCATCTAAGTAGATGCACCAATTTAATAACTCCCCTATTGATGGACATTTCGGTAGCATCCAATTTTTTGCTATTATAAAGACTGTGATTGATATTATTTTAAATTTATTTTTGTACACTTGTTCTACAATTTTTGAAGGATATGTTTCTAGAAGTGGAATTGCCAGATCCAAGTCCATGTACATATTAAAACCGATTATCCAGTATTTTCCAGATTATACCAAGTTATACCTCCAAGAACAGTATATGTGAGTGTTCACTTCCCCTACATCCTCACCTAATTCTCTCTCAATTTTTCTCTTTGCCAGGAGAAAAGATGAAAAAATGACAACTTTATTTTCATGTGTGCGTCTTTGATATTGAGGTTGAACAGTAGGATTTCACTGTAGTTGGCTCTTTTATTTGTGAATAGCCTCTTTGTGTCCTTTGCCCATTTTTCTAACACAGTGCTTTTTCAATAACAATAGTAGCTAACATTTATTGAGAGCTAACTGTAGGCCAGACATTACTCTAAGTACTTGACGCAAGTGCCCTTGGAGGTCAGTAAGCAGCAGCAGGTAGGCTAGATAACTTGCACACCTCCCATATAGAACTTCCAATAGGTTCTACCCCTTACTAGCTGTGGGACCTCAGGCAAGTTATTTAATATTTCTGATCTGAGTTTCCTTATCTGTAAAGTGGGAATAATAATAGTACCTACTCTCACAAGCTTGCAAAGATTCAGTGAGCTAACATAGGATCTGCCACATAGTAGGTACTCAGTAAAGGTTAGCTTTTAAAGATTATTACTAACAACTTGATTCTTCTGGAAGGGGCCTGTGAAAGTCTGTTTATTTAGTCAAATCTGTCAGTCTTTTCTTTGGTGACTTCAGGGTTTCAGATGATACTTATGTTGTCATCTCCCCAGAGTTTGAAAAATAGCCTCATATTTTCCTCCTATGTTATTTAACTTTAGGAGCCCTGGTGGCACAGCAGTTAAAGCGATAGGCTGTTAACCAAAAGGTCGGTGGTTCGAACCCACCAGCCGCTCTGCGGGAGAAAGATGTGGCAGTCTGCTTCCTTAAAGACCTCAGCCTTGGAAACCTATGGGGCAGTTCTACTCTGTCCTATAGGGTCACTAGGAGTTGGGATGGACTCGATGGCAATTTTTTTTTTAACTTTAAAAATAAGCTTTATTGGAGTATAATTTACAGGCAATAAGATGCACCCATTTTAAGTGTATAGTTCAATGAGTTTTGATAAATGTAAGCATCTGTGTATAACTATCAAGAATAGACAACTTTCCATCACCCCAAAAAGTTCCCTCTGCAATTCTCTTTGCAGACAATGCCCTTCCACTCCCCAGGCAGCTACTGATCCGCTTGCTGTCACTACAGATTAGTTTTACCTATTCCTGAATTTCATATAAATGGAACTATAGAGTATATAGCCTTTTGTGTAAGGCTTCTTTCACTTGGTATAATGCTTCTGAGGCTTATCCAGGTTGTTTGTGTATCAGTAAATCTGTTCCTTTTGTTGCTTTTATTGTATGAATGTATCATACTTTGTTTATCCATTCACCCATCAGTGGGCATGGGGGTTGTTTCTAGCTTTTGGCTACTATGAATAATGCGGTTATGAACATTCATGTACAGATTTTTCTGTGAACATAGCTTTTCATCTCTCTAGAGTAAAATACCTAGGAGAGGAACTAGTGGGACATTTGATCATTGTAATCGCCAAACTCTTTTTCCAGAGTGATTACACCATTATTTAATAGTGAAAGTTTAACTATATCTGGCACGATTTTTGTGGAGGATATATAGTAGGAATCTCCATTTTCCCCAAATGCAATAGAAGAATGGAAGTCTACAAAGGTTCAGACTGTCTCTCTTGTTAAGCACTATACCTTCGTGCCGAAAACAGTGCCCAGCAGAGAGTACGCACTCAAATGCTTAGTGAATGACAAAGTAACAAACTGGCCCAACCTCATTTAGTGAATAATCCATCGTTTTCCTATTGATTCGAAGTAACATCATTAAATACAGATTCTTATACCTATATGGACCTATTTCTGAACTCTGTTCAGTTCCGCTGAACTATGTGTCCATTTTGGAGCTATTACTATGCTTTTTAAATTACTGCGACTTTAGCGTATGGTTACATATTATATATTACCAAGTTTTAACTCTCTGTCATGTTTCTGTAGACAGAAATGATGGAACAGACAGACCAAACCATCTCTCTCTTTTTTCTTCTTCTCAAAGTAATTGCCTGTAATACTTGAAAGCCTCCCCTGTCTTTCAAAAGAGCGCTCTCCTCACTGGTGGCTTCGCCAGCAGCTGCGGAAGCTTGCACGGAACGGCCCGGAGTCAGGTTTAGCCAGACAGAAGGCACGGACGGCTAAGCATGTATGCTGGGGAAGAGTAATCTGGTATCTGTATTGTATGAAGCTTTCTGCTCCTTGGTCTTGTAAAGGAATTTCTTCTATATTTATTGATGTGAAAAGATTTCCTCCCGTGCACTCTCTCTTTTATCTGTCTACCTACCTATTTATCAATCTGTCTATCCGTGTCTTTCAACCCTCAACACAATAGGCTAGTAGTGGTGTGCTGGGGCAGCTCATACAGCTCCTAAGAGTCGAATGTCAAAATTTCAGGAAGCTTGCAAACCTGTTGATACCAAGTTAGTAGCTTGAAATCAGCCACAATAGCGGTATTACACCATGGAAACTGACAAACACTACAAATAAGGGCCCTCCCCTCCCTGAGAGCTGGTTGTTGAACATATACCAGCACACCATGAATCAGATATATCATAAAGCTCATCCAGTTTCCTGACTTATTCCAGGTAGCCTTTACAGTGTTAAAGGGTCCCCAGGGCACAAAACAAAAGTTGGGAGCAGGATCAATGGCAGAGCTCTCGGGAAAGGAAATTAGAGAATCACCTGTACCCATTACTTCAGTCACGTAAACTAATTTCGCTTCGGTCAGCTGAATAGTTCAGGGATCACTGCTTACACTCAAGAAAAAAACCTTACCTGAGCCATTATGGATCTTGGTTACTGAGTCCAGATGCGTAAGGCTAAAGGGACAAAACAGTTGAGGTTAGTGGCAAAGCAATACTGTAGGGAAAACAAAATAAAATACTCATGGACCATTACAAAAGGATAAACTGCATCAGACCTTTGCCAACTGGATTAGATGGATATGTGTGATTTAAATTTTCGTACTGTTAAATCATTAAGGAATTTGGAGATACGATTTTATTCAAAAATTCAAGACACATATGATAATTTTGAAATGAATGTCTCTCATGAAGCCTTCACACAGTACACATTTATTATCTGTTAATATGGAAGACCCAGTTCTTGGCACCAGGGCTACTAAGATGATGTTGTCTATTTTGTTTTTACAACCCCCAAAAAGTGTCTTTGCCTTGTAGGATCCAGAGTGTAACAGGAGAGAAACCAATGTTAAAGAGATCATTATCATACAGTGTGAGAAACATTATGATTGGAGACTGCTATAAAGCTTTCTAACAGAGAGGTAAAAGAACTAGGGGCGCAGGAGTTGAGCTACTCAAGATAGAAGGCAAAAGAGAATAGGGATTAGGTCCTGAGGAGAGAAGAAGAGAAGAGAGGAGAGAGGTCCTTTACCTGTGGATCCTCCTATATGCATCCTGCTCCTCCTGGCACAGAATCTTGGGCAGTTCTACTGCTGATTCAAGGCACACTTTCCCAATGGTGACATGAGGTACGATATGGATTGGGATTTCGATTCTCTCATACCTGAAAGGCAGTTAGCTCGGGTCAGTTTTCAGTCCTGAGCTGTCATAATCAGAAGTTCTCCATAGTTTTAATAGAAACTTTGGGATACAGCTTACTTCAAACATTACACACTCCTATAATTTATTTTTGTGGCTCAACTTCAAAGTAGATAAGAGTTCATACTGGGTTTACCTGGGGAGAAAACTGGAAGCTCAGCTGCAGAGCCAATATTCTCTAATCCCATAGACAATCTGAGGCCACTTCAGTAAATTTAACCAAGGCCTTGGGAGCTTGAGGTCCTTATGCCTGCTCCCCGGACAAGGGAAATAGCTAATTAATACTCTTTTTCAGTCAGGAAGTTGCCAGTGAAGTTGAACAGATTAATCGCAATGCCTGGGGAAGAGGAACTGCAGACTCTTCAATGACTCTATCAGATTCATTATGTAGATGGGATTACTCACATAATTGCTCACTTATTCTAACTCAGTGTTCACCAGAGGCCCTCACTTCCCATTTTTCCCCTGAGGGAGAAATATGTAAGACATTCACAAATACTTGTGTTTTCATGCTAGAGTAGGAGAAACAGATATTATTGTTACTGAGGCCAACCAATCAACCTCTATCCACTTCTCAGCCCAAACACACCTAAACTCTAACAACAGTGGGTTCAGTGGAGTATCCAGGCACATGGATCCATAGGCACATGGTGGTAAAGCAGCATAAACTCAAGCTCATCCCTCTCTCTTTCCCACCCAGCAGTGTGGCTGGTCCCCACACCACAACCTAGATAGGACACAAATAATGGGGAATTACAAGCTCTACTTCCCTTACCCACTCCCCACCCCCACATACCCAAGTACCCAAGTTGGAATTCAAGAAAGAGTATGCCATAGCTGCTCATGGTTTTTCAGAAACCCCTTTGAAGTAACACAGTGACAGTGATTACTAATAGTTCCAGAAACTTGAAGAACTCAGTCTGCTGATGCTATTAGCCTGGTTGGCAGAGCTTCCCATGGAGTTTGTCAGGACCATGAACAGAAATGGTTCCAGTGGTCCAGTGGGTTTGGACACACATCTTCATAAATTCCTAAAGAACACATCTGGAGCATCTGTCAGCTTACTCAAAACTACAATGCAAGGATCTAGGTAGGTAGAGATCCAAAGTTGATGACATAATTTTGCTTCTGCGAATAGTGGACTAGGTGGTTAAGACTAATCCTCCTGTTGAGAGCAATCAGAATAGCTGGGCCAAATAAGACAGCGTTCTTGGAAGGCACTGGAAAGCTACCAAGGCAATGAGTTATTGTGGGGTCAAGATCTGGGAAAGGAGGAAATCCAGAGAGATAAGCCTGGCATTTAGGAACACTTTCTTCATGGAAAGGCACCTGCTGATTCCAGAGGAGGAAGCTCAGAGGCTGGGAAGTTGAGTAGAGCTTTCAAAAGTCTTATGGGGCTGTCGTTGCTGTGTGTTGTCAAGTCGATTCCGACTCACAGTAACCCTACAGGACGGAGTAGAACTGCCCCATATGGTTTCCTAGGCTGTAATCTTTACAGAAGCAGATCACCAGGTCTTTTCTCTTGTGGAATGGCTGGTGGGTTCGAACCACCGACATTTTGGTTAGCAGCCGAATGCTTTAACCATTGCGCCATCAGGGCTCCCTTTATGGGGCTTGTTAGGTGCTAATCAAGCCGGTTCCGACTCCTAGCTACCCTTTGTACAACAGAATGAAACACTGCCCGGTCCTGCGCCATCCTCACAATCGTTGTTATGCTCGAGCCCATTGTTGGAGCCACTGTGTCAATCCATCTCATTGAGGGTCTTCCTCTTTTTTGCTGACTCTCTACTTTACCAAGCATGATGTCCTTCTCTAGGGATTGATCCCTCCTGATAACATGTTCAAGGTATGTGAGACAAAGTCTCGCCATCCTTGCTTCTGAGGAGCATTCTAGGTGCACTTCTTCCAAGACAAATTTGTTCATTCTTCTGGCAGTCCATAGTATATTCAATATTCTTCATCAACATCATATTCAAACTCATCCATTCTTCTTCGGTCTTCCTTATTCATTGTTCAGTTTTTGCATGCATATGAGGCGACTGAAAAATACCATGGCCTGGGTCAGGCACACCTTAGTCCTCAAAGTGACATCTTTGCTTTTCCACACTTTTAAAGAGGTCTTTTGCAGCAGATTTGCTCAATGCAATACATCATTTGATTTCTTGACCGCTGCTTCCATGGGCGTTGATTGTGGATACAGGTAAAACGAAATCCTTGACAAATTCAATCTTTTCTCCATTTATCATGATGTTGCTTATTGGTCCAGTTTGTGAGGATTTTTGTTTTTTTTTTATATTGAGGTGTAATCCATATTAAAGGCTGTAGTCTTTGATCTTCACCAATAAGTGCTTCAAGTCCTCTTTGCTTTCCACAAGCAAGGTTGTGTTATCTGCATATCATAGGTTGTTAATGAGTCTTCCTCCAATCCTGATGTCCCATTCTTCTTCATATAGCCCAGCTTCTTGGGTTGTTTGCTCAGCACACAGATTGACTAAGTAAAGTGAAAGGATACAACCTTGATGCACACCTTTCCTGATTTTAAACCACACAGTATCCCCCCGTTCTGTTTGAACGACTGCCTCTTGGTCTATGTACAGGTTCTGCATGAGTACGATGGTTTTGGAATTCTCATTCTTCGCAATATTATCTATAATTTGTTATGATCCACGCAGTCGAATGCCTTTGCATAGTCAATAAAACACAGGTAAACATCTTTCTGGTATTCTCTGCTTTCAGCCAAGATCCATCTGACATCAGCAGTGATATTCTTCATACCACGTTCTCTTCTGAATCCAGCTTCAATTTCTGGCAGTTTCCTATTGATGTATTGCTGCAACCGTTTTTGAATGATCTTCAGCAAAATTTTACTTGTGTGTGAAATTAATGATATTACTTGATGATTTTCACATTCTGTTGGATTACCTTTCTTTGGAATGGGCACACATAGGGATCTCTTCCAGTTGATCGGCCAGGTAGCTGTCTTCCAAATTTCTTGGTGTACACGAGTGTGCGCTTCCAGCATTGCATCCGTATGTTGAAACATCTCAACTGGTATTCTGTCAATTCCTGGATCCTTGTTTTTTGCCGGTTCCTTCAGTGCAGCTTGGATTTCTTCCTTCAATACTATCGCTTTTTGATCATACGCTATCTCCTGAAATGGTTGAATGTTGACCAGTTCTTTTTGATATAGTGACTCTGTATTCCCTCCATCTTCTTTTGATGCTTCCTGTGTCGTTCAATATTTTGCCCATAGAATCCTTCGATTTTCCTACCAAGGCCTCCACCAGACTGAGTCCAGTACAGCTAGATGGTGCCTGGCTACCACCACTGACTGCTCTGACCGGGATCACAACAGAGAAGGATGTAGAACAAAATTCTAACTCACAAAAAACAGATCAGATTTACTGGCCTAAAGGAGACTGGAGAAACCCCGAGAGTATGGCCCCCCGACAACCTTTTAACTCAGTGGTGAAGTCACTTCCGAGGTTCACCGTTCAGCCGGGGAGTGGACAGCCCCATAAAACCAAATGGGACTAATGAGGCACAGCAGTTCAGGGACAAGGACTAGAAGGCAGAGGGGGACAGGAAAGCTGGTGATAGGGAATCCAAGGTTGAGTAAGGATAGTGTTGATGTGTTGTGAGGTTGTTAACCATTGTCATAGGGCAACATGTGTGCTGTTTAATGAGAAACTCTTGTTCTGTAAATCTTCATCTAAAGTGAGAATAGCAGCACAATTGGAAGAGCGTAGTCAATGTCACTGAACTGTGCATGTAGAAATTTTTGAAGTGGTGTATCTTTGGCTATGTATATTTTCACCAAAAAAAAAAAAAAAGGTCGAGAAGGGAGAGGGCTGACATGTCGTGCGGTTGTTAACCAATGTCATAAAACAATATGTGTACTACTGTTTCATGAGAAACTATTTGTTCTGTAAACCTTCACCTAAAGTACAATAAAAAATATATATTAAAAAAAATTGATGTAGATTTTTAAAAAGACACTAGACAGCTGTGGATGCAAAGATAAGTCTAAATGAACTATATCCCAGAGAGGGACAAGCCTTTCCTAGATCAATAGAGACCAGTGACCACTCTCTTCCCTAGAGGCATCTGTCTTGTCTAGGGGCACAAGTAGGTGAAGGACGGGGCTTGTCGTATGTAGATGAACTTTGCTGGGATAAGGAGAAACCAACAGGGCTTGTAAGAATCATGTGAGTTGGTCTAACAGACAGGAATCTGTGGAAGCCCCAAACATAAAGTTAGTTCTCTCCTACTACTGATTTTTACCTCCGTAAGACTTGCTGAGAATTTGTAGGCCCAGGAGGCTGAGACCTGAGCTACAGTGAACATTGGTGTACAGGTTTCTGTTTGTGTTCCACCCTTCTCTTCTTCTGGGTATATACCTAGGATTGGGATTGCTGGGTCATATGGTAGTTCTATGTTCAAATTTTTTTGAGAAACAGTCAAGCCGTTTTCCACACTGGCTATATCATTTGACATTTCCACCAGCAATAGATGAGGGTTTCAGCTTCTCCACAACCTCATTAACACCTATTGTTTTCTGTTTTTTTTTTTTTATCATTGCCATTCTAATAGGGGTGAGGTGGTATCTCATTGTAGTTTTGATTTGCATCTCTCTAATGTTTGATGGGAGCCCTGGTAGTGCAGTGGTTCAGAGCTTGGCTGCTAACCCAAAGGTCAGCAGTTGGAATCTACCAGCCGCTCCTTGGAAACCCTACAGGGCAGTTCTGTCCTATAGGGTCGCTAAGAGCCGGAATCGGGGTTTGGTTTTTGGTAAATGGCTAACGATATTGAGCATCTTTTCATGTGCTTGTTGGGCATTTGAATATCCTCTTTGGTGAAATGTCTGTTCAAGTCCTTTGCTCAATTTTTGATTGGATTGTTTATCTTTTTGTTGTTAAGTATTCCCGTTCTTAAGGGAAAAGCACTCAGTGATTCAGCACATTG